ACAGATAGATGTTTCTCTCTCATGTCAATGTGTTTCTCTATCTCTCTCCTACTCTCTCTAAAATCAATAAGCATATCCTTGAGTGAGGGTTAAATTCTATATATACATATTTTTTCTCATATCACATGATCCTGAAATAGCGTTTGGTTTAGTTTTCTGTTATATTTTTGAGGATTTTTATGTAAGCACTTAATTCCTTTAAGCCAATTAAACAGAGCTCTTTATGTTACAGGGAGACGAGGAGACCTCAGGTCTCGTCTTCTTGAAGGAAAGATTTCAGTCAAGAGACAAAGTACAGATACATATTTGTGTATCAAAAAAAGAGAGAGAGACAAAGTATAGAACTGATCGAAGCAAAAACACACTTAGGACAGTGAAGCAAGGAAGGGCACAGAAGGAGCGACAGAAGAGCCCAGGCCGGGCTGCCCTGGCCACTGAGAAGCCAGAGAAAAGGGGGCCAGAGACAGGTTCAGGGGTAAGCCCAGGATGAGCTGCTGCTGCCCACTGCTCCCCTGGTTGCAAGTCTCGAGGGTCCCCTCGGAGGGAAGAAGGGGAAGGAGATGGTGCTGGCCTGCTCCCCTAGGGGGGAGCTCATTGGGACGTTTATTTTCAAAGGTTTTAAAGGCTAGGCATTTAGGGGAGGTCTTAGGGATGGATCAATAGAATAATCATCAGCTTTATGCTGATGTACTTAAAATGAGATTTATTCTTAATTTGTCTGTCTTTGGGTGTGGTTGGCAAATGGCACTAACTGGATTTCTGTTATTTCTGTTTTCTGTCTCCCTGAGTAGAGTGATTCAAGCTATTTACCCTCTGGCTGGGGAGGAGACGTGCAAACCATTTCCTCTCGAGTGCCCTTGGTTTAGGGCGGCTGCAAACTGCTGTTTCACTGTCTTAGTTTCCCTGTTCCGCTTGTCCTGCCATTTTCCTAGCTTCATACCATGCTATAACATTTACAAACCAATTCTGGTAATATTCTCTGCAAGTAGACATACATACACTAATACTAGATGTAACCAGAAACCTGATAGTTTTGTTTTTATCATTTTAGCCATAAATACAATTTTAGCCATGAGACAAGTACAACAAGGGGGAAACGCCACTAATTTATAGCAGTTGGAGTAAGTTAAGTTTATTCGTTCAGATGGCTTTTTCTTATTAATATTTGTGGAGAAGATGATTAAGATTTGTATTTGTTCTTGGCAAGGAGCCTTGGGGCCAGAGCAGCAGTTTGGGCTTTCAAAAACAAACAAACACACAAATAGCCATCCTTTGCTATTTTTTTCTTTTCAGCCTTAGGACTTGAGGATGGTAACAATAGGTGGGCTTTGAACTCCTTCGAGTTGCATTTCTGGTTTCACAAAGACTTGTAAGATTTGTGACAACTGCTCTCTATTCCCCAAAGAATTTGGTTGTAAGTTATGTGACATCGTAGGTTGACCTGACGTCCCAACTGCGTCATTCCAAATTTGCTCCTTTCCCTCTGGACACATAATTTATTTTACCTTAGGGGAGGAGGCTTTGTAAAAAAAATTTCTATTAGGCTCTGAATCTTTAGCTTCCAATTTTGCCAAGTTTCTGATTAAAAGTTATTAAGTCCTCTCAAATATCTTGTCAGGTTTGGGGCAGGTGAAACAGTAAGAAAATTTTAAAGTACCAGCTCAGATGCTAAACTTTTCTTTTGGGATCCTTTTAGAGCTGTTTTGTTTTTTAAAGCCGTTATGTCTCTTAGAAGCTTCTGCATATCAATCAAAGAATACAGTCCATTGTCCCTGAGAGGTTTGGAATCCTCTTTGGGGGTGGGGGGGAAGTGCCTTGAGGTCAACTTAGAGGTTTTCCTTTAAGTTTTCAATTATTTTGGCTAAATTGGTCCATTTTCCTTAAAAAGGCAAAAGAGGAGGGACCAAAATGTTTGTACGTATAACTAGCTAGAGTTCCCGTGGAAGGAACTTTTGGGGAACTTTTAGAGGGTGAAGATCCCATGTTAAAGACAAATTCCCCTGAAAGCTGTCAGGGGAATAAACAAAAGGAATGACAATAAAAGCCCCAAGTAGTTTGATTGCAGGGATCAAAAAGTCAACTCTCGGGATGAGAAAAATAACACTTGTTTTTGTTTTTTACATGCACATTAGCAGGTTTAGCTAGGCCTTGGGTCTCTTGGAGCCACACTAATACCTAAGGGGGATGTGCCTTGGGTTTGGGGATTGTGTGCCATATAACAGCATTCCTGGATGCACAGAAATTTTTCTTGAGATTAGTGGGTGACCAGATGTCAATCGAACCCATTCTGTGACCAGACTTCAAAGACTTAGTACTAAACAAAAATGTAAAAGCTCTCATTAATAATTTTTATATTAATCACATGTTGAAATAATTTTATATTGGCTTAAATAAAATGTGTTATTAAAATTAATTTCACCTGTTTCTTTTAACTGGTTTTTTTTTAAATGAGAACATTTAAAATTACATGTGACTTGCATTTGTGATTTGCATTATATTGCTATTGGATGGTGCTGCACTAAAAAAGTCACAGATTCTAAAAACATTAAATCTAAACCGTGTCGACAAGCCTGGGAGTGGGGCACAGGCTCAAATCCTAAACAGCTAAAGATGGTGTCTGCTTTCTGCTTCGATTTAGCGCTCTGAAGAAGTAGGGGAGACCCAGGCTCCATCCTGTTATATCCAAATGCTGTGTGATCAGATGGCATCATGCTCTGATGTAACAAACAGAATTTATCAAAATCTTTCCCTTTTCTCTGCCTATTTCAAAGGCCTATAAATCCATTTTTAGTGTGAGGGTCCTAAAGTTAACCTAGTTAAAACTAGGTGATGGAAGAACGGTTGCACTCCATTCATAGCCCTATAGGTCTGCCATCAAGGTTTTCATAAATCCAGGCAGCAAAAAGGAACACATTGTTATGACACCAGTGTCCCTTGGGATCTGAGAGTAGACCCTGGGAGCAGCAGTGATATAATAAAGGAATACAGCTGGTTTCCTATTAGGGTTTAGGCCACATAACCATTTCTCATTTTATTTGATAATTTTTCTCCTAATAAGTACCTGATAGACCATATTTTTTCAGACATACAACAAATATTTATTGAGCTGCCCATTGCTCAGTGGGCTACCTGGTAGCCTTGAGTGTGGCATAAAAAGAGTCGGCTAGGGGGGAAATCACATGGAGAGGGAAAAAAGTATCTTTTTTAAAAATATCTATATCTATATATCTATTAGAGAGAGGAAGGGAGAGAGAGAGAGAAACATCAATGATGAGAGTCATTGATCGGCTGCCTCCTGCAAGCCCCCTGCTGGGGATGGAGCCCGAAACCCGGGCCTGTGCCCTGACCGGGAATCGAACCTCGATCTCCTGGATCCTAGGTCAATGCTCAACCGCTGAGCCACACCGGCCGGGCAAGAGTATCATCTTTCATTCTACCTGGGCTTCCCAGGCAGAGTGTGCTAGGGCTCTGCTAGGCACTAGTCTAGGCCCTAGAGATGCTTCAGCAAATAAAATAGGACAAATGGAGCAGATATACCGAGGAACCTAATGCTAAGTTGTGAATTACATGGCTTTCTGCCAAGTGCCCTTTACTTATGTTGTGTTAAGTTAACCTTTGACTTGTAAGATATTTTATCTCCTCAAAGGGCTTGAGAATTTGCCTTCGTGCTTTCACTGTGTTAGCACTTCCTCCCCAAAAGGAGAGGTGTGTGTGTGGTTAGGGAGCGGGGCAGCAACGCACAATGTGTTTTCTCCTATTTCTTTCCCTTTCTTAGTCTCCACTGAGCAGGTAACTGGCTCCCACTGGAAGCCTAGGCATGGAAACACGGCCTTGCCTAATTGGATGTGACTCCACCGCTGCAATTGCACCGATTTAGTTTTGTTTTTTATATATATGTTTCTGTTGATTTCAGGGAGAGGGAGAGAGAGAAACATCAATAATAAGAGAGACAATAATCGGCTGCCTCCTGCACGCCCCTGACATGGGGATCGAACCCACAACCTGGGCATGTGCCCTGACCGGGGGTCGAACCTGGATCTCTTGGTTGCTCAACCACTGAGCCAACGCCAGCCAGACTTAATTACAGACTCTGAAAGACTATGTACTTTGGTCCTCGAGTATAGGTGCTCCCGGGTGAAAAAAAATATACTGTTGACTCTTGAGCAACACGGATTTTTTTTGTAAGGGGGCAGGAGTTCAATTGGCCGGTGCTATTCAAACCCACGTTGTTCAACGGTCAACTCCGTGGTTGCAAAATCCGAGTATGTGGGAGTAGTTCTCCGTGGGTTTTCGATGGGGGTGGGGGGGAACGTTATTCAAGGATCCACAGAATTTGAAAAGAGGTTGATAAGTTTTGAAAAGTGCTGTTTTAGTAGTATTCAATGTGTGGGGGATTGTAAAGCCCTTCTTCGTTAGCTTTCACCCCCTGGGTTTTAAGGTTTTATATCAAGGGTCAGCAATTCCTGACAAGTGTCACAGAGCCCGGAGCTGGGTGCCAGGGGACACTTCTCCCAGTTGCCTCTCCTGCGAGCTCGTGGCGTTGCTGCGTTTCCCGCTTCCCTGCTTAGGCACCGGGCCTGCCTCCACTCCAAGGCCGATGCCAGGGGGAAGGGGCCCTGTGCCACCACTCTCAGCGTCTTGCCAGCCCTCTTTTATTCTTGATCTTTCCTATTCTCAAAAAGAAATCTATACTATTAATTGGCTGGCTCCTACATCTGGAGCCATTTTGGTTTTTTAAAGATTAAGGGATTGCTTCTGTAGCTTTCTCTTCAATAGGTTTGTGGGTTTTTTTAATCTAAAGGAAACTTATTATTTCTGAAGCTACCTTATAACTTTTATGTTTCTATCTGCAGAGAAGGTACTACATCTTATGGCATTTCATCCGATTGGACTTATTCTATCAGTAAATAAGAACTTCAGTTGCTGAATGACTTTAAAGAAATTAAACATCTTTGCTCTCGGCCTGCATTTTGACCACGGTATTGCAATATATTTTTCAGGTTTTCAATTCAAAAACAGCTGAACTACTTAGTCACCATCAAGTGGAAATAAAACAAGAGTTTCCAAGAGAAGGGTATGTTTCCTAATTTAATATGTAAACATATTACATTTATGAGGCTGTCTCACCCCACCTGCTCAGGGGCTTTTTAAAATAAACTTGATCAAACACCCTCCTGAGAAGACTTGAGGGATGGGATAGGTGTTTATTAGTCAAGAAAAGGAGCAGTAGCTTGGTAGCTCCGCAAAATATCTGGGTATTTGATGGCTTAAGAATTCAGTGCCAGAAAAGAAGGCAATGATAAAGTAATAAAGCACAGATGTATTAAATATCAGAAATTCTACATTAACTGTTTGATGATTTGAGTGTGCTCTTCTTTCTTAAAGATACGTTTTCCTAAAAAGCATTCACCTATCATCTAATGCTGAAATCATCTTTTTTGACAATAATGTTTATATGTAGTAATTGTGATTAAAATAGAATGTTAAGTATATTATTTAAAAGAGCCATTTTCAACCTGTGTGCTGCAAAAATTATTAAAGCATGCAATACCTGACTAGTCAGGGCCACGGACCTCTTTTCCCTTAGATTGTCAAATTAAAAAGTGACAACAGCCGGCACAATAATAGCCATCGGGTGTAAGTGAGTGAAAATTATACCTAATTTTTTTGTGAGATCGGCCAAAAATATATTCTTTTTTGGTGTGCTGCGGAATTTTAGTAATTAGTTTATATGCGCCGTGAGATGCAAAAGGTTGAAAATCACTGATTTAAAATTTAATGACATGTATGATACAAGCACTTTGCAAAACTGTGTGGCAGTTTCTTATAAAATTAACCATACTTCTGTAGCATTGCACCCTTAGGAATTAATCCAAGGGCAGTGAAATCATGTCTAAAGAAAGACTTATACATGAATGTTTATAGCAGCTTTATTCATAATAACCCAACTGGAAACAACCCAAATGGCTGTCACCAGCAGAGTGGGTAACAATGAAATACTGTTCAGCAATTTTTAAACTGAACTGGTACATTCAGCAACATAGATGAATCTCCTCGATATCATGGAAAGTGGAAGAGACTGGACACGAAAGAATGCATACTGCATGGCTCTATCTGAAATTCAGGAGGCTAAACTGATTTAGAATGACAGATCCAAAAATTGGTTGCCGTGGAGTATGTGATTGACATGAGAGAGGCATCAACGAACTTTCTAGAATGATGGAAATATTCCATAATTTGACCGGGGTGTGGGTTCCATGAGTATATACATTTGTTAACACTCAACAAATTGTGCACTTTAGATCTGTTCATTTCACTGTAAAGTTCACTTCGATTTAAGAAAAGGATTGGTGTCCTACCAAATTTTATAATTTCTTTCTAGGAAAAATGTTCTGTTTTAAAGAATTCATTTGTTTAGTAATAAAAGCTATTGATATGTTAGCAGCATTAGAATAACTGTCCACAGGCCAGATCCCAGTGCAATTTGGAGAGAGGATACCTGTGCCTTGGAAGGATGAAAATGAGAAATATGTGGAGGGAGATTGGGTTTTTGGAAAAAGGGAGTTTAGAGACAGAACTCCAAGCTCGGGAGACCCAGGCAGGCCTGAGGAAGGCAGAGGAGAAAGGCATTTGGAATTCTCTCGATACTTGCAGATCCGAGGGTAGGATTCTCTTAGCTTGTGTCATTTCTGGTTTGGGGGTTTCCTCAGTTTCCCCAGGTTTCTCTGTGTCATCATTTATGAGCCTTTCAGCCTTCTTTCTGAGGCCCTGGTATCTTACCAAATTGCACTGGGACTGGGTCTGAAAACTTGGGACCAATTGCTTGTCTACTTGAAATAGTTATTAGAACAAATTTAAATTACCCCCTAAATACTAACAAAACATTTTGAGAAAAATGGCAAAATAGATTAGTATGCTTTTTGACTTTTCAGAATTCCTTTTGCTAGATAGTTAGATAGATATCGGTCTACTTAGAAATAAATAAATAGTGACTAGTGAAACATCAGATAGTTTATCAATTTATCAAATCCATGGGATATAAAGACTCTGGGAACTAATTTCTTACTGGGTTTAAAAATAGACTATTTGCTGTTTTGTGACCTGTTATTACTTGCCTCCATTCAAACGATCGATTACTGTATGAAGAATAATAATGTAAGGGAAATAAAATAGGCTTTCCTTTCAATCATTTCTTTAGAGTATTGAATATGCTTTGCTTTGCTCATCTGATTTTAGTTTATATGACAGCCGCAGCCTCATGAGTGAACATTTCTAGAGCTATAAATTACAGTTGTATTGCTTTCTTGTGGACTAACCAAATGCATTCTTTTTGTTCAAAGATGGGTGGAACAAGACCCTAAGGAAATTCTGATGTCTGTCTATGAGTGTATAGAGAAAACATGTGAGAAACTCGAACAACTCAATATTGACATTTCCAACATAAAAGGTATTTTTTAATAGAATATTTTTGTCCATGGTACAGTTATCTCAATCAATGTCATTCAGTCATTCAGCACATAATTGAGTGCCTGTGCAGCACCAAGCATTTCCGTGAGAACTGAGGATATGACAATAAACAGGAAGATCGGGTCCCTGTTCTCATGAAGCTTTTATTTTGGTAGGTTTGAGACCAACAATAAGAGTAGACAAATAAAGGCTAATTTCAGATATCGCTAAGTTCCATGCAGAAAATGAAACTGAGTTATATGGTAGGGTGTGCCTAGACAGGCTTGCTTTAGATTGGGTGGCCAGAAAAGGCCTCTTGGAGGGGGTGACACTGTTCCTGAGGTCTCAAAGGCACCAGCCATACGGGTATCTGGGGAAAGAGTATTTGAAGAAAAGGAAGCAGCATGTGCAAAGGTCCTGAGGTAGGAGTGAGCTTGGATCAAAAAGCAAGCAAGCGTGTCAAAAGTAGAGTAAAAGAAGGGCACGGGGTAAGAGTGGGTAGGTAGGTAAGAGGGTTCAATAGGAGCTGGAGCCAGGGAAGTAGGTAGGAGTCTGAATGTTGTTCTCAGTATCACAGAGAGCCGTGAAACGGTTGTAAGCCAGACAACAAGGGATGACAGGATCTGACTTGTGTTTTAAAGACAGCTTCCTGACTGCAGTGTGGAGCCCTGTGGAGAGTGGAATGACGATGGCAGTGAGGGTGGGGAGAAAGGGCAAGGATGTCCTGGTGGATTGGATGTCGGAGTAGTAAAGACAGGATGGGTGAAAGGTGCTGCTTGGGGTTTTGCTGGAGTTCCCGGGTAGGTAGGGGTGCCTTTCCCTGAGGGCAGAAAGGCTAGAATAAGGGACAGCAGGGGAGAGGAGGCTGTTCGAAATCAAGACACTTCGCTAGTAAAATCTCCCTGGAAATAAATGTTTGAGCGTGTTAGACTATTATGAATCTCTCTGTTAATTCCTAGTAGTTTTAATGGAATATCTACCTAAGTTTGGCTTTGTATCATTTATTTATACAAGGAGAAAAAAAATAACCTAGCCATCCAAAACTGATAAGGTGGTGTAAGGGGTAGAAGCATGATGTGGTAATCGCCATATCTTTATAGTTTAAGCTTTTCAAGTACATCATTCAAGGGCTATTTTTTTCTTCATTAGGTAGTTTGACTCAGGGTAGGGGGAAACCATAGATTGGTGATGGCAGTGCCTTGAGATTCACATCATCTTTCTTGGCTCTGAGATTTACCCACCCTCCTGAGATGAAGCTTTGATTTTTTTGAGACTTTCCCCTATTTGTATAAATCACTTAATAAAAGACTAAGCATAATCAAAACCAGCAAACCTGAGTGCCTACTGTGTGCTGGGAAACAGTGGAGCACAAATAAGGTTGTGCAGCTAACAAAGTGGAAGACCGATGTTAACCCAATAACCACAATAACTGCAAATTAATGGAGAATGGTAACAATAATACAGTTCTTTCTGTTATTGCAGATTTTTGAGAGTAACAAACAGCCATGTGTAGATTGGATATTTGTTGACAATTTTTTCATACCCTGCCCTCGTTTTACCCCTCCACCTAAGTGGGAGTATCTCAAACTTCTTTTAGAGTTGCGTTCCCCAAGGTTCAGATGCGGTTTGCCAGCTGTGCCAAATTGCCCCCCACCCCCCGCAGGTAATTTATTGTCTGTGCCAAGGGCCAAGCTTTTGCTTGCCTGTATAGACCTCTGCGTCACTGAACGCTAATGCTGTAAGCGACCTTTGGTCACCTAGGCCTAGCTGCAAATGAGGGGAAGAGCCTTAGTGCAGGTCAGAGAGCCGCGCAGTGGTAGGTGACATTCAAGCACAGCTCTCCTGTCTGCTGATCCTGTGACACTGATGATAACCTCACAAACCAGTTTTCAGTTCCAATGTTGCAAATAATGATTCCCACCGCCCCTGCAGAAAAGCGACTTGTTATTTATATAGTCTTAACCTATGATCATTAAGAGTTCATTAGAGCTGGTTGGATTTCTTTTGCAAATTCCAGCTCCATTGGTTTTAGTTGTCCTCGTTTGTTAGAAAGTTGGTTGACTTCAGGTTTCTAGGAACAATGCCTCCAAAATGAAAGTTCACTTTCTAGCTGAGCAGCACGTGTAAGCACAAGACAAGTAAATAGGCTCCTGCTTTCCTCCCTGACTTAGAGCGTCGGCCAGCTCTGTTTGCCTCTCATTGGGCCCAAGGAACTGTGAAGTACAGGGGTGGGCTTTTTTGGTAGGTTTCCAATTGTCAGTACATGAAACACAATTTACTGTATTATTATTCATTTATTATTTTTCCATTAAGAACAACTGTGAATCTACTTTTGCCCACCCCTGTATAAGGAAATTATTCACTTTATTTGAAGAGAGAGTACATAATTACGCTAATCAAAGCTTATAATATTATCCATGAGAAAATGATGCCAGATTCAAAAGAAAATAAACTAAAATTTACATTTACATTATGTTGATATTCTTAATTTATAATTTTTGCATCTAAAGTAGCGTTTCTAACCATTAGGCCCATATGGCATGATTAAATTATAGTAGTGTTTGAATCGGGGAGTCACTGATCTAGATAATTTTAAATACTTATTCTTCAGAAGAACAAAAACTACAGTGCCAGATACTCTTCATTCATCCTCTCTCATGTGATATAATCAACACAACATAGACTGTCTAAAAGTTAAGGGCATAGCATTCTCAGCAATTAGATTCTCTTATATCAAAAGTAGTACTCACCCGGCCAGTGTGGCTCAGCGGTTGAGCATCCACCTAGGATCCAGGAGATCGCGGTTCGATTCCCGGTCAGGGCACAGGCCCGGGTTGCCGGCTTGACCCCCAGCAGGGGGCGTGTAGGAGGCGGCCCATCAATGACTCTCATCACTGATGTTTCTATCTCTCTCCTTCTCCTTCCTTTCTCTGAAATCAATAAAAACATTATTTAAAAAAAAAAAAAAAATAGTTGTCTCAGTGTTGGAGAAAAGGGAAAGCGCTACATGCATTCCTCTACTGCCTCGCCCTGCCCTACTTAGTCACATGCATTTCCACCACCTGCGACTCTTGGGGGTCTCGGGCACCTCATTCCCCTAAAGAACTCCCCAGCAGTGGCCACCATCTCATTTGCGATTGTTACAACCTTGCTCAAGCACACACCTTGCAGACGCAGTTTCCTTAAAAAGCTTTATACCTCCTCCCACAGGGCACTTTGATTATTTTGCTCTGGGTGTTTTTTTTTAAATGTATTCCAGTTATAAATTACGATTTTCTTTTTAACTAAGGATGCATGTTATCCATAATTCTTCCAAGACAACAATTATAACATCCTGGAGTATTTCCAAAGGCTTTTTTCTAAGTCTTGTTTCCTTAACTATGATGGTGGTGATAACTTTTCACAGGCACTTTTAAGCAAAATTGAACCAGAGGGGTTGAATGTAGCATTTAACTAGTTATTTCACTGAGATACTCAATGTTAAGAAAAATACCCCCTGAGAAAGAATATGTAGGTGAAGCATGAACCTGCTAGATACAAAAGTCTCTTTGGGGCCAGGAAATAATAGAGTTTATGCCTATAACTTTCATATGCTCTATTTTTTTTTTTTAACCTGCACCAGAGGACATGTTTTCCATTGCTTTTCAGAGAGTGGGAGAGAGAGAGAGAGGAGAGAGATGTGAGAGAGAGAGAGATGTGAGAGAGACACATGGATTGGTTGCCTCCCGCACACACCCCAGCCGGGGTGGGGATTGAGCCTGCACCCGGGGTACATGCCCTTGACCTGTATCGAACCCGAGACCTTCAGTCTGGGGCCACTGAGCCAAACCAGCTAGGGCTCACATGTTCTTAAATGGTAGATGGACTAGGGTGGAGATTACAAAACCTGAATGTGTTATTCTGAGAAAGAGAAAATAACTATTAAGAGAGGCACATGTGCTGGGATTAGCAATCAGAAAACTTAAAAGAAAAAAACAAAACAGGGTTTCAGGGTAAAAATGACAAGATGTTAGAACACTGGAAAAATTCAGAGGCAGCAGTAAGTAACATTTCCTGAGTGCTTACTGTGTGCCAGGCACTGTTTTAATCTGCATGATCTTAGGGATTCCTCACTGTAACCCTGTAAGGTGAGAACTGTTATGCCCATTTTACAGAAGGTAAAACTTAGACCCAGAGTCGAGCTGCTAGGAAGCAGAGGAATTAGCATTTGAACCCCAGCAGTCTGGCTTCTGAGCTCTACTAAATAGTGCCCCAAACTTGCGGTTCAACTTTTTCTAGGCCCCATTTCAGCAAATAACCTTGTGTGCTTCACAGAGTAAGTTGAAGCTCTGGGGCCTTAATTCCCCAACTTCTTGTTTCGTTACTTAATGTCTGGATCTCTTGCCACCTTCCTCCCATCAGAAGGGAAGCTGTAGCCTTCTGTCCTACTTGAGGTTCCTTCCTCCGCCTGTGTATTAATCTCATCCCCTCCTGTCACTACCATGTCCCATTGATTCCC